CTGGAATCGGGTTACTGTAATCTTAATCATTTATCCATCATCACCCTCTCCGTAATTGCTTATTCTCTGCACATGGCTTTGTACTTGTTACAACAGCAGTGCATATCAAAGCTAAAGTGTTTGCAATGAATGTATGATTTGTGTGTCGGATGGGCTACTGTAATGTTTGTATGCAATATTATTCGCATTGATTTCTGCTGTGATTTATACTGTTGATTGCTTAAAATGAAAACATTCCTGCCTTCTGTGAATAGGACAGCATCTTTTTAATATCAACTGCAGATATAAATTCTTGTCAATACAAATCTGTTGACCGTGTTGACTGACAAAACTGTTGTTTTTGACATTTTATGTATGATTGATATATGAATGGACGGACAGACTGATGGATGGATGAACAGATAGATCGATGGATGGATAAACAGATGAGATAGATAGATGAATGGACAAATTGATGGATGGAAGGATGTATGGGTGGATACATATATAGATTGATGAATGGACAGATAGATGGTTGGATGGATAGATAGATTGACAGATGGATGAACTGATGGACGGGTGGAGGAATAGATGTACTGGTGGATGGATGGATGGACAGATGAACGGATAGATTGATGAACAGATAGATAGATAGTGAAACAGTTTTCTTTTTTTTACTGATTTGTGTGATTTTTAACTTGACTTGTTTCTAAGCTTGGTGGAGTTGGCCTGTGTTTAAAGGGAGGGCCTCCTGACTCTCTCTAATTGGCACCCCAATCAGCAGTGGGAGGCAGTTTTAAAGGCGTCTCCCTTCTTGCAGGCGCTTGTAAAACAATGAACGTCTTTGAGTGTGGACAATTTTGAATGCAAGCAGGCTGACAAGCGGGGAAACTTGCATTACCTTCCCCTGCGATGACCCCCTGCCTGAATGCGCTCAAGAGCGAAGTCAGGGAACTTTCCATTTTGCTCTGACTTTTTTTTAAAAATGTAAGTCCATTTGAACTTGGCGACAACAAGCACATTTGCAGCTCCTTCTGATCTGCGTTTCAAGGTCTCGGAGGAAACGGGAGCGGTGAGCCAGCGCCACGAAACGGATTATCGAGGATCGTTCACGGCATCACACAGCTGGTTTACTTTACACGATCCGCCTGGGTCACTGTTAAACCGGGTTGCCCGAAAGAACAACAGAGAAAGACAATTTTGCACATAATTCGATTTAGCTGCATTATTTGAAGAGCTTGTGGAACTGGCCCGCAAGTGTTGAGCAACTTTAAAAGCAATGGTGGGAAGACTGAACTTGCGGAATGCGTGTGACGATGATCCGCTGGATATGAATTTGAAAGCTGATCGGCCGCTGGACAGTCCTGACTCCGGTCTGCCTCCGAGTCCGAGCCCGAGTGTTTGGTTACTGCAGGGCACCGGGGCTGGAACCCCGAATACAGAAGACGAGAACAGAGGGACAGCTGTGGTATGACTCCTTAATGCAAATCCATGACATTTAATAGTACAAAAGTACATTAAATATTTATATGTATGAATATAAACATTATTTAAATGTATTTATTTAAGTGCTTTTGTAAAAATAGTAATATTTTAGTTTAATTTTTGTTTATATATATATGTGTGTGTGTGTATGTTAATTTGTAATTAGTTCAGTTAATTTGTATTTACTGTACATGTTACTTAAATAATTTTTTTAATATATACACATTTGTTTATTAATGATTTATAAAGCAATACTTAATGTATTTATTTAAGTGCTTTTGTAAAAATAGTAATATTTTAGTTTAATTTTTGTTTATATATATGTGTGTGTGTGTATGTTAATTTGTAATTAGTTCAGTTAATTTGTATTTACTGTACATGTTACTTAAATAATTTTTTTAATATATACACATTTGTTTATTAATGATTTATAAAGCAATACTTAAAAAAAAAACGTAATTACAGGTTCCTAATAATCGCCAGTTGCATGCATTGTCCTATGGAGAAGGAATTGAACTTGATCCTCTGCCACTAAAAGAAATAAGGTGAGTTAATTTTTTTCTTTTTCTTTTTTTTACTGTGACTATCACATGATTTTGGGATTTGGGTGATTTGCTCTGGGCAGGTGCAGTTCATATGTTGCACTAACTTGTTACACGTGTTCTTACAGATACACGTCGTCAGTGCGTTATGATTCAGATCGGCACTTCATCCAGGATGTGACTCTGCAGCCCAAGGGTTTGGGTCTGGAGATGTGCAGCCAGACGGTGTTGGCCCTGCCTCAGAGCACCTGGAGACATTACAAGACCCAGCTGGAGTTCCAGCCCCGTCAGCGGGTGCAGCGCTACCAGAGCACCACTATAGTGTACCCCAAACACACCCGGACCTTCTACACCACCCAGCTCTATTATGACGGGCATAAGCTGACCAAGCGCTTCTTCTCTGCTGTAGAGCTGCAGGCTTCTGATTGCCAGGCTGGTCTTTGAAAGACACTCGGTCATCTGTGCCTGACATTACACCCCCATATGTACCAATTATAAACCACCGCCTGCATTCATTGAGTCCCAAGAGGAAAAAAAGGAAACTCGGACTGAAATTGTTGACAGTTGGAAAGGGGATCCCTAGACAGACGTGCAGTTTTAGTTTGTTTTAGGCTGAAGGAGAGTAAGCAACTGTGTTGCTCTGTTTGAAGGTTTGGTTAGGAGCAGCGTATGGAGATTTGTATGGGTTTTCTCCATCAGTTCTCAATGGTAATGTACAGAAATGGTTTTTAATTGTATGTAGGAATGTGGTTGATTATGTAATAGTGAGATTCAAGTTTCAGATATTCTGCGCTGATCTTGGACCATCATTGGTTTGAAGGTTAGATTTAATGTTGACACATAGTTGGCCGATATAGAGATATGTGATTTACTTGAGAGCACTTATTTACCCCATCATAAATTGAGTATTAGAATAATACAATAGTAGATTTTAGGACTGGGTTAGAAAGGTAGAGTTTTTAGTACATACCTTTTACATGTTTCTATTTAACAAGTTCAATCTCACTGAGCTGTAGAAGGGTAACGTTCATATATTAGGGCCTAAAAAGTGTTTTCTGAAAATACAGGGTATGTTAGTGTGTCTTTGCACAAGGGTGGTGAGTGTATCTGGGTTAAAACATTAACTCCATCTTAAACTAACCTTATCTGCATATTTTACTACTGTAAGTCTCCATTAGGACACTTATGCTGTTATCCATATTTTCTTTATGTAAAGGCTAGCTAACTTCCACAGCTCTGCTTGGATTTAGTAAGTCATTCTCTGTGTTGTTACTCGTGAAGGATAAATTAGAAGTACGGTCACATTAGAACTAAACTCAATCGTGCCTGATACTGCAGACAGAGGTGTCTGTAGACCAGTGTTTGAAATAAATTATAATGTAAATAACAGCATTTCAGTTTAAAATGTTTTTATCAGTGGCACATTTCCCTATTTATTTTTTGTTCTTGTTTCAATTCTCTTTACTTCTGTGCTGGTTTTAAATTCTGTAGCTGCGCTGTGTAAAATTGTTATTCTTTTAACTCAAATTCCTTTAAGATGGTTATTAACTGTTCAAATGAAATAAATAAATTTTTAAAGTGACATGTGCATTGTCCTTAATGTTTGCATTTTTGCATCATGCTTGAAAACAAGACCCTAGTTCAAACACAAAGTAGTGCAACTAGTAATCTTCTCATTTGTTGTTCTTGAGAGCCCCCTAGAGGTGTGAGTAAGTTTTACAGATATAGTATTACAAATATGGCCTTAAATGCAGATTAAACATGAAGGCAATTGTTTTCAAGTCTACATAGTATAATGTATACGTTTCATTAATACAAGCACTTGACTGGCTGTCAGGTCAGGCCAAGCTCTTCATGAGATGATCTTGAGCGGCCAGATAGCGCTTCCTTCTGTTGGTTTTATACATCTCAATCCTCTTTTCTTCTTCTACAGGGTTGGCCAGCACTCCCACCCACCTCAGACTCTCCTGGGACTGGCTCATGGCTGTCTTTGGTGGCATGTTTTTATATTGGTCGGGCCTAGCTACGGATACCGACAAATGTTTGTGTTGTCTACTTCCTTTTTGCTGTTTACAGGTCTTCTGGGAGCATGTGTGTCCTCCATGCTTGTTCTTCAGCATTCTTATGGTCTCACGTGTTGCTTGTGTAGACTGTATAGAGGCTTTTTGTCTATTATAAAGGTTTCAGCTAGTGTTGTTTTCCTCTGAAGTGTCTCAAGGGTTAACCCTCTTGTGATACCTGAGAAGAAGACAATGTCAAAAGTCCTGTGATTTAGATCATTATGTTAATGTTAAATTATTGTGAAGATGCCAAAACTAGTGGCTGTACAGCATCTTTCCTATATTCATTTACATTTAGTCATTTAGCAAGCGCTTTTATCCAAAGAGACTTACAGATGATGACAATAGAAGCAATCAAAACCAACAAAAGAACAATAATATGCAAGTGCTATGACAAGTCTCGTTTAGCCTAACGCAGTACATGTAGCAAGGTATATATATATATATATATATATAATAAAAAGAAAACTAGTAGATAGTATAGAAAAATAATAGAGAAGGCTATTGTTACTTAGAGGCCCTTTTTTCCTGAGTTAAACTACCCACCTGTGTTAATATGAGAATGAAATGGTCTGATCTGATGTGTTCTGATCCACAGTTATGTTTCTTGGTCGTTGTTTTATGAGAGAGTTAATATGCTAATTGTATTTAAATACTGGAAACAACTACAACTATTGTATACTAAATATATCTCCATGGCAACTATACCGGAAATGTACAATACATTTCCAAGTGGAAATATAAATAAATTTGATCGATTTCATTATGGTTTATTTTTCACTTAAAATGTGCGAACGTGTCATTTTTATAACAGTTTTTTTGTTTTGCAGAATTCATAGGAAGTGTTTTTGCCTATCCACGCAGAACGTCTGTTTTTATCAGTTTTGGCTTTGTAATGAAAGCATTGAAGTGGGCGGGGCAAAGAGCATTAGCCAATCGAATACATTTGTAACAAACAAAGACGTTGAAGGGGGCGGGATATTGTAGGGAAATGGTGGAGCATGTCGTATGTCAAATAATACAACTTCGCAATATAATGTAAAACAACTATAACAAATATAAAAGCGTGTAAATTTTATATACATTATTATATTATGTTCCTGAAAGGATGGTGTAAAGATTAGAATGGGCAGAGCTTCTTGAGTCTCGTTTTGAGATGGATGCGTCTGGATCACAACAACTGTTCGATGACTGGGACGATATTAGCGACTCGGAATTTCTCAACATCCCTTCCGAGCAACAAAGCATAGGTAAAATAGTGTGTAATTTCAATAATATCCATATCTCTGTAATTTGTTGTGAATTTAGTCATACTTTTAATTTTGGACACAGGATGGCACTGTCGTATTATGTGTGTAACTTCGTTTGTTTGTCTATCATCTGATAGCCTATCTTTTTACCTGTGTCTAACAACTTGTACATACTTGTTAAAGTTTATACATACAATGAATGTTTTATGTCTTTTGAGAGCCCCAGTGTCATCTCAATAGTGAATCTGATGGTAAACACTCAGTGAACTTTGATAGCCCCTGTGCGTCCACCTCATCATCAGTGCACAAGTAAGTCATATGATGATGGTTTGTGGAAAATTGTTAGATAGTGTGTGCAGACATGGAACCCAAGTTACTCTACTGAACTGCAACATTTGTTATTTCTTTGTTTTGTCACATAACATTGTTCTTCTACTCAGCCGGAATGAAGAGGCTTTGGGACAAGAAACTGTAAATACAGAAAATGTGAGGGGTTTAAAGAGAAAATGCCTTCATGAAAACAGCTTCAGCCCAATGCAACGCTTCTTCAAGCGGCATCTGAGTGTGACCCTCCTGTGCGACCAGTCTTGGTGTGAGATGAAGACTGTTTACGGTCTTTTAAAGCCATTTGTCAAGAGAAAGGAAATGCAACGTGCTGAGGTGCAGATCGGAAGGGAAATTCATTTATCAAGAGGTGAACATTTAAACACAGTGCAACATAATATCTCAATCATATTCAGTAATCCGATCCATGAATTTCATCTCCAGAACGGGAGATTCAGGACGTTGTCCCTGTAGATATCTGCACTAGAGAAGATGCAGAAGCCATCAAACTTCTCAACATGTTGCACATGATACCGCTGTTGGAAGCAGGTGAGTTGACAATGTTAAAACAGTGTTAAGTTTGGTACTCCGATGAACTCATGTATAGCCAGAAGGGGGAGCTGGTCCTAAATGAGCTCAAGACACGCAAACAGAACTCCTTGCCTAGTTCTGCACAAGATAAAGTCAACTGCTTACAGGTGAGTTGGGGTTATTTATTGCAGGTATGGCCTTTGTCCTCACTCATACAGCAGTAAATCATTGCACTGTGCTTTTGTGAACTGCTGCCTTGTTCTCACTGAACTTCATTCCACATACATTTGGTCATATACAGTGGTGTGGGCTCAATTTATGTCCTTTTTTATTAAAATACAAATTTCTAATACATTTAAAATGATGGGCTCCTGAAAATAACAAATGTCGTACACACTATAAAAATGTGATTTAATATTATTTTGGAGGGCATAAAGTCAAATATGTTAGGGTGATACACCTGTCTTGATATCATAATGAAAAAGCCTCGAATTCTAAAAAGGAAAACCTTAAGTAGTTTGGTGTAATCGTTTACAATTGTCTTTGAAGAAAAAAACACTATTACAGTATTTATTATTTGAGTTAGCTTTTTGTTTTTGTATATTTAATTTTCATGTAATTAGATTTTTTTTTTATTAGCCACACATTTTTTCCACAAAGTCATGTGGTGCAACCAGCTTAATCTTGTGGTGTGAATCCCCAAAACTTAATGATATTAATGAATTAATAATTGATGATATTAGGAAAAATACATTTCACCATGATAAATATTTTAAAAATCAGCATAAAACGTTTTTGAGAATCATATCAAAATAAATATGAATTTAAAAAAAAAAGCTACATTTCTGAGAACTTGGCACATGTTTTTTGGCACAGATTTTTCCTTCCTCTTTTTCTTTTCTATATTATGCACACCTTAATGCATCTGTTCTTTAAACTATCCATCTGTTATTCAGGTTGGCCTGTATAAATTACTATTTGATGGACTGGTGAGAGGAGAAGTGAAGAAAGACCATGTTTTAAATCACCGTAAACTGCGTTCAGGTCAAGTACTTGGAGCAGGAGTCCAGGCCCATGCTAAAAGCATTGGGGTCCAGGTGACTACCTTTGAGGAACTGGTTGACGCTCTGCTAATAACTATGTCTTGTTCTGATCTTCCATGCATTGACCTGCTTCAGATTGAATACTATCACCAAGGCTCTAATGGAGCCATTGGGACCAGGGTCGCTCCTTTTGATGAAGCCCAACTACGGGCAGAGCTTCAGGGTCATCTGGCCTACTGGAGAGGTCAGAGGGAACCCAAAGGGGTGGACATAGAAGAGGCCTGGAAATGTAAATCATGCCTTTATGAACAAACTTGTAATTGGACAAAGAATAGATTGCAAGTATCTGACCAACAAGCAGATCATGCTAGCTCATGATTGAGCATTTTACAGATAATACAAACATTTGTATGTGGTGACTATTTTTGTCATGTTATTAACCTTTATACTTTAATTATTGTCTTATGTGTTCTATTTAAGTCTTATAGTTTCAAATACGCATATATTATGTGAATGTTATTGTGCAGCTCTATAATGACTGTGAGTGAAGCGTTGTGAATTCATAATGCATTATATAATGCATAATGCAGTTTTTGATTAGAATGGCTTTTTAATGGAAGCAAGCTGAAAGCTTCCTCACTTTGTGTGCATTAAGAAGTTTATGTCACTTAGCTAGTGGAACGGATATGTTTTTCAGTCAACGATAACTTCAGTCAAGTGTGGCTGATATAATGCTGATAAATACATAATGCATTTGAAGTGAACAAATTACATACAGAAATTCTTCAATTAAATTTTAATTAACTTTAAAATAATAATAATAGTAGTAGTAATATTATTAATAATAATAACAATGAAATAGAATCCCATATATATATATATATAGTATATTTATTAGTATTGTTAGTTTCCCCCGTTTATCTCCTTTATTTCTTTTTTTAAACAGAGATGTGCATCATTACCTATAGCCATTATGTAAAAATAGTGTAAAAGAAATGATTAATAGCTTAACGGTTAAAATATTAATCCTTAAATTAAGTATTTTTATTGTTTATTTATACTGTATGTCACTAACAAAATATTTTAATTGAATGATGAAATGTGTGCCTTTAGATGGTGCTATTTTACCATTTCTTATTTACTAAATCACTGAATGTTTAGAATTTATGTTGAGCCATATCTGTAATATGATAAACAATTTGATAACTATGACATTATCAGTTTGTATTTGACAGTTGCTAATATTAAATCAGTGATGCGCTGTGCCAAAACTGGAAATGCCATATTTTGATTAGCAGATCCCTCGTAGTGATAATCTAGTGTTGATACAGAGAGGCTGGTTTATTTGGCCCTGAAATTTCATCTGCACTGGCACTGACCTCAGCACTGCTGTTCTCTGTGTCGTCACCCAGTGCAGGCCTTGGAGCGTGCCCTTGTTATCAATATGACACACTGAGACTCTGAATGACACATCTGGCATTTAAAAGAGACCACACACTCCCTCAGGGTGCTTCCCGTCTGAACCTAAATCACTCAAACAGTTTAGTCAATCTTTACATTCAATGGCTGAATTTGTTGTTGGTTAAGGTGTGCAGGCTCCTTTGCATGACCATGTATTACAAGCTGTTTTAAATAGCCTCTGGAGGCTTGTTTATTTTATTAATGAATTGACTCATTCCGTTCCTCATAATAAGCACACAACTGACTGCAAATCTCAATACAGAAGAGGGTGCGTTCTAATTTGATACCCGGCTTTGCCCATGTGCAGGCATCGAACACCCGTGAGGCTGAGAGCAGCCGTTATTAGATTGTGTTGGTTGAGGTCTGCTCTAATCTGCTAGTCGATAGGCTAAAAGAGCCATTCCCAGTGCTTTGTTTGCTCATGTCTGCACTAAAGCACACCATCTTCCAGCCATAGGAAGCTGCAGGATGGTCTGGTCTGATGAAGTCACTCAGGCGCTAATGACCCCTCATTCGAGGCTCTTAAAAGCACTCCTGCTCACTCAGTCTCTAGTAAAGTGCTTCAGCACTTCACTTCAGCCTTTGTAAACTCATGTCACCTGATCGTTTCATGCTCCGTTTGTGTTGCTCACCGAACTCAATTCCTGCCTCTCCTGATCAATCGGTCACCCAATAAAAGGGTCTGAATAGTGATTGCATTAATGCACAGACAAAAAGAAAATAGAAGGCTCCGTGCTTTTTTTTACCTATCATGTGAGAAAAAGGGTTAAATGATGCGTAAAACTAAATGCAAACATCGGGTGATTTAATTGATGTTCATGTGAGTGCGCAGTGCATGGGAGCTAACGCAGGTATAAATTTATCAGGACTTTGGAATCATTAATTTTACATTGTGATATCTTACATTGATGAATGTCATTACATCGGATTACATCATTCCCTGTAGGCAAATCATTCTTCTAGAATATTACACAGAGCGAATCATGGAAACAGATCATTTTTCAAATCTTTAATGTGTTTTCTAACATATATTCTAAAAACGAAATAATAATTGCATACCATTCAAAACTTTGTGGTTGGCAAGTTTTTTTTTACTGTAATGTTTATGAAAGAAGTGTCTTATGCTCACCAGGGTTGCATTTATTTGATTAAAAATACAGTAAAAACTATAGTATTGTAAAATAATTTAAAATAACTGATGGAAAAATAGATTTTTTCAGCAGCCATTAAGTCGTCAGTGTCACATGATCCCTCAGAAGTCATTCTAATATGATTTTGAATAAATATGAAGTATTTCATATTATTATTCATTCTTAGCATTCTTTTTGAAAATAATTGTGCTTTATATTATTTTTAGAGAAACCATGATGCATTTTTCAGGATTCTTTGATGAACAGAAAGTTTAAAACAACATTATTTGAAATATAATACCTTTTGTAACAATGAAAAGGCCTTTATTGTCACTTTTGATTAATTTATTGATACATTTTACTGGCTGGAAGTACAAACAGTTTGACTGAAATGTAAAAATAAATCAGTATAATATAAGTCTTTTTGCATTGTGGTAAGAAGCATCTTTTTTACATTATGATAATTAAGATGTGGCAATAGGGTAATTATGAAAACATGCAAAATATGTCCCAGACTTATTCTCAGCTGATTCACTTGTTAACAAATTCTCAAGGACGGTTTACTTCAGTGTAAATGAGATGCATGTGATGAAGGAAATAAAAAAATAAGAAACCGAAAAATTTTCTTGCAAAGAAATAATTCAATTGGTACATAGATGAAAAACTATGCAGTAAATCCATTAAAAGTGTAAGCCTGTGACGCAGATCTCAATACAGAGTGACAGCGGTCTTCTGCCACAATAATGTAACCGAGCCATGTATTCAGCTCCACCCTGCCCAGTGTGGAGATCCCCACACAGTCAAATGATCCCTGTCTGGAGCAATTGAAACCCACAGGCCTCTTTACCAAGCTAAAGCAAAACATGAGGAAGTCCTTGGACTCAACCAGCTGTCCACAACCCCAATCTCACTGTCATCATTAGTCAACTGACGAAAACACCAGTCTCCAGTTCTGACTCTTTAATCCCAGGGATCAGTGCTACAGTGCGGTGTAACTAGAATCTGCTGCATGTGATCACAGAAACAGAGAGCAAAGGGCCAATAACACTGACATCATTTTGATAATATAAAGAAATATTAGTCTGCGTTTCGACTAATGCAGAGGAAGATGGAGGAAGGGGGAAGATGGTTGTCAGAAAAAGTACACTTAAGCCCAAATATCTGATAAAAACATCACAATAATCTGCACAACTCTAATCCATCAATTAACTTCGTGTGAAGCAAAAAAGGTGCGTTTATAAGAAACAAATCCATCACTGACATTTTTAACTTAAAATCATTGCTTCTAGCTAAAATGCAATTCCATAATCCATAAAAATGCTTCCTTCAGTGAACAAACCGCCTCATCTGAATCAGAGAAATATGCAGATCAAGCACCATTTACAAGCAAAAACAGTTTGGATTATGGATTATGAACTGGTATTTTCATCAGAAGTGACAGTGTTTGTTTCAAAAGCACAGCTTCTTACTTCACAAGATTTTAATCGATAGACTGGAGTTGTAAGGTACAACATGTGGATTATTGTGATGTTTTTATCAGCTGTTTGGACGCTCATTCTGACGGCACCCATTCACTGAAGATGATCCAGTGATGAGCAAGTGATGTAATGCTAAATTTCTCCAAATGTGTTCTGGTGAACAAACAAATTAATCTACATTTTGGATGGTCTGAGGGTGAGTACATTTTAATTTTAGTTTTGGGGTGAACTGGTCCTTTAAGGTGATGAAGGTTTTTTTTCACTAGGGAACTCAGAAAAATGTAAGTGATATTTTGAAAAGCATATGATGTTTAGCAGTCTAATGCAATGAATTTTAGGTGTGACCAAGTTTATACATTTTTTGTGCCAAGGGTAACATGCACTTTGACAGCTGCATAAAACAAGCACTTTTTTTTTACTCTGCTCTGCTCATGCACAGAGGGCTCTTGTGGACACCTAAGAGGAGTTTTGAATGCATTCAGGTCATTTGATACCAGGCCCTTTGTTTTGCTGTAAAGCACGTCTTAATTCACTCTTCTACATTTTTGGCAGAGCACAAGAACCATTAGTGCATTACTGCCTTGAAGGTTCACGCAAACCGCCTTAAAACATTGCAGATCTGATTTCAAGCACATTTTGTCCTAATAGAGTAATTGTTCTCTTGTCCTGGAAAGTAACAGGCAGAGAGGAGTCTCCTTTTTCATTTGGTGCTGTGGAAGGGAGTGTGAGAGAACCGCATACAGCCAGCAGCCTCCAGGAAAGACTCTGAAGCATCCTTTAACAAACACACAAATAACTCCAATTGAAACAAATTAAAGCACATGGGGCTGAGATAAGAGCAGGCTGTTTATGAGAATGTGAGTGCAATTGCATGGGTTTGAGTGAGAAGTGAGTGAGTGTGCGCATATTAGTAGCACAAGTGCGCTTGTGTGCGTGCGGTTGCAAGCTTGTGTACATGCGAGATTAATTGAGCTGTTCATAAATGTGCTGGGTTAATGAAATGGCAGTTGACAGTGACCGTGGCGCACAGGAAGTGCTGTAACAAGGCTTTATCTCTGTCACACAGCACAGAAAGAACCACAGCTCATTATGTAGGTCACAAGTCAATTTGATAACTTACATTTCTGAGGCGATAAAGTGCTACTCTAAAGAAGAGTCAGGGCAGAACTGTAATATGAAAAGTTTATGAACAGTCACTCGTCTACCCAGATAAAACCACGTTATGTTTCTCATTATTGCAATATATATATTTTAGACTGTTGACTTTTTTCAGTACGGTGGCAAGGGCAGTTTACCCTTAGGTCGAGCACACACTCACACAACACACACGTTTTGCTTATTCATGCAAAATGAGAAGATATGAATTAATTTGCTATTTTTAGCCTGCTCATATAGTGAGTCTGCATGCTTTGGAAAGGCAGAGAACATTTGGCAATTCAAGCAGAGAACAAATTTGGCAAATCATGTAGAAAAGGCAGACGTAACCAATGTAGATGAACAAATCGTGCACATTAAAAATGAGTCCTCACAGGACTCATTTCGCTTGAGATGAAGCACTTAAAAGGAAAGTTACAATTATGTGAATGAAATTGTGTAAATTAAAAATAATTTACCCTTTACCCCATCCTCATGTTGTTTCAATCCAGAAATAGTGTGAAACACAAAAGGAGATGTTTAGCAGAATGCTCACACTGCTCTTTAAATATAAAAGTCAGAGGT